GCACAGAATGGAACTCTTGTGGGCATCTTTCTGTACAGATAGTTCTAATAAATTACAACTGCATTTCCAAAGAGACTGTCGTACTCTGTAGTATGTGTTCTGTAATTTCTGAGAAACTTTAAACAGACAAGTTTTTTTTTACCATTCTTAAAAATATTCCCTTCAAAAAGTGTTGAGTTCACTTCTGATCTGAATTCGTAAAAGAGATTGGTTTGTCCGTGTTTTTGAGCTCCCCTGGTATACTAGTTATAAATCAAAGCAGTGCCCTTTATTTCTTCTCTGTAGAATTTCCACCTGAGGTTGCACATCAGAATCATCTGTGGAGCTGTTTGCTTCCACTCCTAGAATAAGATTCAATAGGTATCAGACAGCACTGCGGCTCGCTAGGCTAATCCTCTGCCTTGCGGCGCCGGCACACCAGGTTCTAGTCCTGGTCGGGGCGCCGGATTCTGTGCCGGTTGCCCCTCTTCCAGGCCAGCCCTCTGCTGTGGCCAGGGAGTGCAATGGAGGATAGCCCAAGTACTTGGGCCCTGCACCTTATGGGATACCAGGATAAGCACCTGGCTCCTGCCATCGGATCAGCGTGGTGCGCCAGCCGCGGCGGCCATTGGAGGGTGAACCAACGGCAAAGGAAGACCTTTCTCTCCGTCTCTCTCCTCTCACTGTCCACTCTGCTTGTCAAAAAAAAAAAAAAAAAAAAAGAAGATTCAATAGGTATGAGGTTAGGTTCTTGCACCTTTTTTTTTTTTTTTTTTGGGTGGGGGGAGATATTTCTAAGAGACATACTTCCAGTTGAGGACTAACACTAGCAGTTTGCATTTGAATTGGCACCACACATTCTCCATATAACAGAGTTAGTTTTACTGATACTGGTTCTGTAACTTTACAAAGAGGAGCCTAGAAGGTAGTTAAAAGGAAATCCTGGGGGACTGGCAACACAGCACAGCAGGTTAAGCCACCACTTGCAATGCCTGCATCCCATTATGAGCACTGGTTAGAGTCCTGTCTGCTCCACTTCCAATTCAGCGCCCTGTTAATATGCCTGGGAAAGACATGGAAGATTTCCCAAGTGCTTGGGCCCCTGCCACTATGTGGGAGACACAGATGAAGCTCTTGGCTCCTGGCATTGGTTCTGGCCCAGCCTCATCTGTTGCAGCCATCTGGGGAGTGAACCAGTGGATAGAAGATCTCTGTCTCTCCCTCTCTCTAACTCTGCCTTTCATATAAATAAATAAAGCTTAAAAAAGAAAAAGAAATCCTAACTGTAAGAACAATTTAGGGGGCTGGCGCTATGGCATTGGAGGTAAAGCTGCCATCTGCAGTGCTGGCATCCCATATGGGCGCCGGTTCAAGTCCTGGCTGCTCCACTTCCGATCCAGCTCTCTACTATGGCCTGTGAAAGCAGTACAAGATGGTCCAAGTCCTTGGGCCCCTGCACCCACGTGGGAGACCTGGAAGAAGTACCTGGCTCCTGACTTCGGATTGGCACAGCTCTGGCTGTTGCAGCCAATTGGGGAGTGAAACAACGGATGAAAGACTCTCTCTCTCTCTCTGCCTCTCCTTCTCTCTGTGTCACTCTGACTTTCAAATAAATAAATACATCTTAAAACAATAAAGAGGCTCACTCTGCCAGGAATGCTAGCTCCTTTTCCTGCCGTCTCTCCAAGAAGTGCCTTGTGCCAAGTCCTGCCTCCCCCAGGAAGCCTGTGCAGCAACTCCAGCCTGCATTGCTTTCCCCCATGTCTTTAAAAAAAAAAAAAAAAAAAGAAGAAGAAGAAGAAGAAGAATTTAGATTTTAAAAGGAACCAGTCTTTATAGATAAAAAAGCTAAACCACAGAAGCAAAGGCATTTGCTAAAGGTGGTATCAGAAGCAAATACTAGAGGGCAGATTTATGGTGCAGCAGTTTAAGCTGCCGATTGGGACCCCCACATCCCATTTTGGACTGCCTGGGTTGAGTCCTGGCTACCTGGACTTGGGTTCCTAGCACTCATGTGGGAAACCTGGGTGGTGCTCCTGGCTTCAGCCTGGCCTAACCCCAACTATTGAAGGCATTTGGGGGAGTGAATCAGCACATGGACACTCCCTCCCCACTTCTGTGTCTCTCTTTCAAGTAAATTAAAAAACAAAACACCCAAATACTAGATCCAAGACTGACCCGAGTGCTTTCTTCACTAATATATTGTACTTACTCCCTCTCCTGAAAGGAGAAGTTGAAGTTCCTAGGCAGGAGTTATAAGTGAGATTGCAGGTAGAAATTACACGCAATACCCAAAATGCTTTTGTGACTTCTTGGGAAATATGAAAACTTCTGGCAAGAGATGCCTAGATTTGGTATTAAAGATTGTCAAGAACAGGAAGATCATTTGTCTCATTTAAACATTCTGAGATGTTGGCAACAAATCTAGGAAATTATGCCAATATTATATTTCTAAGCAAGCCTGACTTTTAGCTTGTACTTTAGAAAAAGATATTGTGCCCAGATTTGCAACTTAGCCAACTAAAGGAATACTATATTTATTAATTAGTATTAGATTTGACTGTTTTAAAATCCCAAATAACAGTAGCTCAATAAAGGTAGATTAACTTTTCTTTTGGATTAAAAAAAGAAATCTAGAAGAAAGGGAAGTCTGTCCTTCATGTGATTACTCCATAGCTGTCAGAGACTCAGATTCTTCTCTTTTTTGCTCCATCCCTTGGAACTCTCTTACATCCCCGTCTGTCTGTCGATTCTAGATGCCTCTAGACCTTTAAGCTAACTTGAAAAAACTTTATTGGGGCTGGCATTTAGCCTACTAACTTAGGTTAAGATACCTAAGTTCCATATCAGAGAGCTTGGGTTTGATTCCCACCTCTAACTCCTGGCTCCCGTTTCCTGCTTACACAGACCCTGGGAGGTAGCAATGATGGCTCAGGTGATTGGTTCCTGCCTTCCCTGTGGGAGACCTGGATTGCGTTTCTACCTCCTGGCTCTGGTGCTAGCCCAGCCCTAGCTGTTGTGAGCATTTGGAGAGTGAACCAACAGATGGGAGATATTTCTTTCTGTCTTCTCTCTCAGCCTCCCAAATAAAATTTTTAATTAATTAGAACTTTATTGATGACCAGTAAACCTGACCATCTTTATGAAAAATGAAAAGAACTTTTCTAGAGTCATCCCACCCAGTGGTTTCTGCTTCCATCTCATTGGTCATACAAAATTATAGGACGTAAATTTAAAAGATCCCCATATTCCATCTACCATGTATCTGACTAATAAAAGTAGTAAATCTCTAGGGTAGAGTGTTCTGCTTTGGATTAGCTGTTATGTTCTGTCTATTTTAAGTAAAGTGAAAAATTAGTTCTTCAAAACAACAGAGAAAACAAAGATACTTTAAATCCTGTTTCCTTTTGGAGATCAGGAGATTCAGAACAACCACAGAGATAATTCGGTGGATAGCCGAGCTAGCAGAAGCAGAGTATATACTGTATTAGCTGATGCAAGCTAGGAACAGGCATTGGGAAAAAAAATGTTCAAGTATGTGCGATACAAGATATACTGATGCAGCACACAAAATAATTAAATAGACATACCTCATAGCAATGAATCACATTAACTCAACTTTCTCTCCTTGAAAGAAAGCTGTGTTAGATGTACATCACCTCTGTCTGTATCCCACCTATAGAAAAAGGGAAGATGGGCCAGCACCGTGGCTCACTTGGCTAATCCTCTGCCTGTGGTGCCGGCACCCCGGGTTCTAGTCCCAGTTGGGGTGCTGGATTCTGTGCCGGTTGCTCCTCTTACAGTCCAGCTCTCTGCTCTGGCCCGGAAAGGCAGTGGAGGATGGCCCAAGTGCTTGGGCCCTGCACCTGCATGGGAGACCAGGAGAAGCACCTGGCTCCTGGCTTTGGATCGGTGCAGCACGCTGTCCACAGTGGCCATTTGGTGGGTGAACCAACAGAAGGAAGATCTTTCTCTCTGTCTCTCTCTCTCTCACTGTCTAACTCTGCCTATCAAAAACAAACAAACAAACAAAAAAACGAAAAAGGGAAGATGGAGAGAATGTTATCTAAAAAACTTGGATGCAGAAGCAAACGTTAATCCATGGCATATACAACTGTAGATCATAGTATGAATATGAGGTATAAATATTACTGATCTATGAAACCAGATAGATTTTTTTATGTTTAGTAGTCTCATTAGTAGCCATTGTTATCATGGTAATAGTTCACACATGTTTACTGAATGTCCAGTATTTGTGATGCATTTTCAGGAGGAAATTCATTCACAAACTGCTACTTTGGTGAGAGTCTAGTTTTTGCCTTCTTACAGCTATGAATTTTAAATCTTGGGGAAACCCAGCCTTGTATTTTTTATCCTATTTCCTTTCATAATTACTTATTAGCAACCAAATGCTAAGTGTCTGTTGACTTTTCTCCAGCTAACAGAAAACTACAAAGACTATGTGAAAAGAGAGCCAGTTGTGCTGGCCTTGAGCCAGCCTGCACCCTCTGTGACCTCATCCCTTCAATCTGAGTTCTCCATGGGGCAGCAGCAGTTGCTCACGGCTCCATTTGGCTCTGGCAGTAAGCATGAGGAATGCTAATGAAACCAGCTAATGCAACAAGATCTGTTAGTCTGGCCTGTGAGCTCAGTGAGCCATCCTTTGAACCTTCATGGAATTGCACTTTTGGGCATCCTTTGGGAAGAATAGTTTATGCTCTGATCCAATAATGGATTGGGGATGATTCTCTAATTTTTTTTTTTTTTTTTGTAGTGGAAATGCTTTTGGCACTCTGGTATTAAATAACTGCTTATTTGAACATATTGTACAATGACTTAGCCTTTCCCATCCATTATTAGTTCCCCTTGATGCTATTGTACTCAATTTTCTAATAGGGACTGTGAAAGAAAATGGAAATCTCACAGATCGTACTTGGGTTGTATCTTACTGCTAATGAGGTTGTCTCCTATTTTGTGTTTTGTGTCTCTTTCTCTTTACTCCCTTTTCCCTCTACTTTCAGGTGAGGGTCTCCCACAGGTATATTACTTTGGACCATGTGGGAAATACAATGCCATGGTGCTGGAGCTGCTTGGCCCTAGCTTGGAGGACTTGTTTGACCTCTGTGACCGAACATTTACTTTGAAGACGGTGTTAATGATAGCCATCCAGTTGGTGAGTTGGTATTTCTGTTCTGGGAGAGGGTAGGCTGCTCCCTTAGCCATACAGTTACTAGTTGTAACAACACCTAGTAAAATAGTACTTACAGGCTTGATGGCATTCTAGGAAGCTGGCTGGGGAAAAGGGGTTAACCTGTAGAAGTCACATTGTATCTGCGATTTGCTCTATTTTAAGATTTTACACCTTGGAGCACTACCCTGCCCTTTGCTGAAGCAGAAGCATGTAATTTAGATAAGGGAAAAAAGGATAATTTGATAGAGTTGCAAGTAAGTCCTCAATTGTCTTCTATGGTGGTTTTTTTTTTTTTTTTTTTTTTGAGATTTATATATTTATTTGAAAATCAGTTTTACACAGAGAGAGGAGAGGCAGAGGGAGAGAGGTCTTCCATCCGCTGGTTCACTCCCCAGTTGGCTGCAACGGCTGGAGCTATGCCAATACAAAGCCAGGAGCCAGGAGCTTCTTCCACATCTCCCACATGGGTGCAGGGGCCCAAAGACTTGGGCCATCTTCTGCTTTCCCAGGCCACAGCAGAGAGCTGGATCGGAAGTGGAGCAGCCGGGACTCAAACCAGCGCCTTTACGGGATCCTGGCACTGCAGGTGGCAGCATTACCCACTACACCTCAGCGCTGATCTCTTCTAAGGGTTTTAAAGGCATAGTTGTAAGGTCTTTTTTTTTTTTTAAGATTTATTTTTATATTTGAAATACAGAGTTACAGAGAAAGAGGTCTTCCATCCGCTGGTTCACTCCCCAAATGGCCTCAACAGGCAGAACTAAGCCGATCCGAAATCAGGAGCCAGGAACTTCTGGGTCTCCCATGTGGATGCAGGGGCCCAACGATTCGGGCCATCTTCTAAGAGGAGCAGCTGGAACTAGAACCGGCATTCATATGGGGCTTTAAAGCTGGGGCTTTAACCCACTGCACCATAGCACCTGCCCCTAGCTGTAAGGTCTTGTATGTCCTCCCTCTCCCCTCATCCAAGAAAAGATTGAACACATAACCTACTGCATTAATGCTCAGATTTAAAAGTTGAGTGACCAAGAATTTGCCTTAGTTCTCAAAGAGACTGATACAGCTGAAGAGGCAGCTCTTGGTATTACAGAGCAATAGCAGCTTACCGAGCAGTTAGATGGCTCCTTTGAGAAGTTTATCAGGCTTTTGGGAAAGATGTAAATGAATTGTCATTTGTTTGAAATGATGATGGTATTGCCCACTTTCCAGAAAAAATTTGGAAGTGTTAGAAAGTTGACGTTGACTCAATTTGAGTCCACAGTTCAGATGTCTGAGCCTCCCTCTCTGTAGTAAGTACCTAAACTTTGTAGATAGAAATATTGAATGAAATTTGAAATTTTTTTATGTCAGGGGTTTTATTTAACAATAAAAACTGCAGTCTTGTGTGTGAGATGTGCCTCCCTCAAATCTTTTTACCACACTGGCACATAACTTTTCTGACATGACTGAAGAACAACCTGCAGTCCTACTTCTGCTAGCAATGTGATGTCAAGCCAATGTTAACTTCTCTGGGCCTCACTTCCCTTATTTCTACAACAATTAGAGCTGGCAAGGTATGGGCAAAAGGTAAATGTGGCAATGGTACCTGTCTCAAAGACTGCTGACAGTGTGATGGCCTACCTGAGACTACTTTTCTCTCAAGCGCTTACTTTCTGAAGTGGAATAAAAATAACTGATTTTAATCGTCACTTGCAAATTGTGACATTATGAGATAAAATTGCATTGTTGTTTTATTTTAACTATACTGTCTTTTCCTGTCTTGGTATTATGTATTTGTAGCAGAAAATATCTTTTGATTGACAAATCAGTAGTAATTCGGGGTAAAGAAGAGATGAGTTTTGTCTTTATTCAGATAATTAAAACCTTGTACTGGCTTAAAAATTTTTTTGATGTATTTTTCCAACATACTTCTTTAGAATATTTCCATCACATTTTCCTTTCGTAGCTTTCTCGAATGGAATACGTGCACTCAAAGAATCTCATTTACCGAGACGTCAAGCCAGAGAATTTCTTGATTGGGCGACAAGGCAATAAAAAAGAACATGTTATACACATTATAGACTTTGGACTGGCCAAGGAATATATTGACCCTGAAACCAAAAAACATATACCTTACAGGGAGCACAAAAGTTTAACTGGAACGGCAAGATATATGTCTATCAACACGCATCTTGGCAAAGGTGTGTTTGTTTTCTGCTTCATGAAAAGGGCAAGTCATTAGAAGAGCTTTTTGTTCAATAGTGTTTTTATCCCTGTTGTTCATTACAACTTGTGGTTCTTACTCCTTCGCAAGGTAAGTGATTTTTATACTTGACAAATTGAGATGGTAAGTGAATGGCTTTTCTAAGTATCCCATTGACTACTTATTCTTTATTTTAAAAAAAGATTTATTTTTATTTGAAAGGCAGAGTTATAGAGAGAGAGAGAGGGAAAGACAGAGAAAGAGAGAGAGATCCTCCATGCACTGGTTCACTCCCCAAATGGTGGCAATAGCTGGGACTGGGCCAGGTCAGAACCAGGAGCTTCATCTATGTCTTCCATGTGGTTGTAGGGCCCCAAGCACTTGGGCCATCCTCCACTGCTTTCCCAGGAGTATTAATAGGGAGCTGCGTTGGAAGTGGGGCAGCTGGGTCTCTAACCAGCACCCATGTAAGATGCTGGCTTTGCAGTAGCAGCTTGACCCATTACACCTCAGTGCCAGCCCCTTACTTCTTACTTTTTTTTTTTTTTTTTGACAGGCAGAGTGGACAGAGAGACAGAGAGAAAGGTCCTCCTTTTGCTGTTGGTTCACCCTCCAATGGCCGCTGCGGCCGGCACACCGCGCTGATCTGAAGGCAGGAGCCAGGTGCTTCTCCAGGTCTCCCATGAGGTGCAGGGCCCAAGGACTTGGGCCATCCTCCACTGCACTCCCTGGCCACAGCAGAGAGCTGGCCTGGAAGAGAGGCAACCGGGACAGAATCCCGCGCCCCAACCAGGACTAGAACCTGGTGTGCCGGTGCCATAGGTGGAGGATTAGCCTATTGAGCCGCAGCGCTGGCTACTTCTTATTCTTTACATTGCATTTCCAAATGCTTTTTCTCAGCAATGTGATGACTTGAATTATTTTAGAAAGGTGATAACATTTTCGTGAGTTTAGTAATGAGTTTGTTGATTATATGTATCTTTCATCATGTATGATAGTCCTGAAAAGGACATCAGGCAAAGGGCATCACTAAAACGTGAATGAGGCTTCTGTTCACTGTGCATAATTCTGTGCAAAATTCTTCAAGGAAGAGCTGCTGTCTTACTCAACAAAAATATATTTGCATTACCATGAGCCTTGCATCTTATTCTGCATAAACAATCTGCACAAATATTTCTGGAAGCTGTAATCAAGTCGGAAGACCTTACTTGTTAGAAGAACTAATCCAAGAAAGAGTGTTTATGAGAGAAGTCTCGTGAACAGTAGGCTCCTTGGCAGCTTTTCTAAAAAGCTTCCCTTTTTATCTGCTCTAAAGAAAAGATCCCTAGGTGATTAAAATATGTTTGAAAATCAGCATCCTACAGAGTAAACAGAATATTATCAGGTTCCACACTCTCAGATGTAGCTAATTATATAAAGTTTTTAAATATTAATGAAGTGTTGTGTGCTAATAGGTATTTTAAAGACTTATGTAGTATCTACTAAGTTTTGCCTCATTGAGTAAACTGTACAAGTATTCAGATGGGGACTTTGGTGGTTATGGAGACTAAACGACATCACAAAAGAGTTTGACACAGCTTGGACTGAAATCATGAATGCTTGACTGAAATCATGAATGTTTTAGTAACCACATGGAAATCCTTACTTAACTAAATGTGATCCTTTAAAATTAGACTGGGGGCCGGCGCTGTGGCTCACTTGGTTAATCCTCTGCCTGCGGCGCCAGCATCCCATATGGTGCCGGGTTCTAGTCCTGGTTGCTCCTCGTCCAGTCCAGCTCTCTGCTGTGGTCCAGGAAGGCAGTGGAGGATGGCCCAAGTGCTTGGGCCCTGCACCCACACGGAAAACGAGGAAGAAGCACCTGGCTCCTGGCTTTGGATCGGCGTAGCGCCAGCTGTAGCAGCCATTTGGGGAGTGAACCAATGGAAGGAGGACCTTTCTGTCTGTTTCTCTCTCACTGTCTCTACCTGCCAAACAAATAAAAAAAAAATTAGACCAGAAGATCCTCTGTCATTTATTATTGATATCACTTTGGAAAGTTACATAATCTCTCTGAAATTTGGAAAATTAGGCTAATACTTCATAAGGATTTTTTAAAAAATATTTATTTTATTTATTTGAAGGGTAGAGTTAGAGAGAGAGAGATCTTTCATCTGCTGCCGGTTCAGTCCACAAATGGCTGCAACAACTGGGGCTGGGCCAGGCTGAAGCCACAAGCTTCATCCAGGTCTCCCAGGTGGGTGCAGGGGCCTGAAGACTTGGGCCATCTCCTGCTGCTTTCCCAGGAGCATTAGTAAGGGACTGGATCAGAAGTGGAGCAGCCAGGACTCGGAGCAGGTGCCCATATGGAATGTTGGCATTGCAGGCACCAGCTTAACCCATTACAGCACAATGCTAGCCCCCACAAGAATGTTTTGAAGGTTGAATGGCTTTGTACAGATAAAAGCACAATACCTAGCTCAGATCTCTTACAGCGTGCTCAATAGCCCTCTCTTCTTCCTCATGACATGCACTCATCTTTTTACAGGGAAACAGACTGTGCCTTACATACTGAAGTCAGGATTGTTTGATTTGACTGACAAACTCTAGAAGTTCTGATGCCTGCTTCCTAGACTCAGTAGTTTGTGTACTGATTTTATTATTCTTGTCAAGAAGGGCAAGAACAGAAAAGGGATAGGTATCTATTTATGTTTGTATAAAATATAGTTTAATGGTTAAGAAAAGGGGGATGGTAGACATTTGGCCTAGCAGTTAAGTCACTGGTTAAGATGTCTGTGGTTGTGATGATGGCTCAAGTAGTTGGGTTCCTGCCACTCCTGTTGGAGTCCTGGATTGCTTTCCTAGTTCCAAACTTCTGGCCATGGGCCATTAAGAGCACTCTCTTTCCTTTTCTCCCTTTCCCTCTCTCGTTATTTCTCTCCTTCTCAACTTACCCCTTTCCTTCCCTTTCTGTCTCTCTCTCAAATACTTTAAAAAAAAACAAAACAGGGATGCAGTTTCTGGCTTTTTCATTTAATAATGAAATGATTTTGATCTAGTAGCCTTCCTCCCTCAGCCTCAATTATCTATAAAACAGATACAATGATAGTACCTATAAAATAGGTTCTGATGGATGTTGCATAAAAAGTATTTAACATAGTGCCTGCTCATGACCTCATAGGTCACTCTGTGTGGAAGTTATTGTTATTATTATTATGTGCACAAGAGTACATTTTAAGCAACTGTTGTGAATCTGACTAGGTACTTCATCTCTTAGTGTGCTGCCATTCCTGCTGGAACTTGATCTCTAGACTTGGACTTCCTGAGTTCCAGAGTTTGGCTCAGATCCAACCTGTCACCATATTTTATTTTTCCATATCACAGATGGTTATCATCACCCTTTAAACCATCCCATGTCTCAGAGAGTTTTCCTTAAGAACTCTAATGCCACTGATTTTTAAATGAATTGTGTATTTTATGTTGTAGTGAAGTAAAAAAGTCTGGGAACTGTTTTGTGAAAGAAGAGACCAAGGGAAGAACCTCCTAAACCTGACATTCAATGTCACTTCAGCCACCTTCCCACTGCCGAAGCAGCCCAGCATGTATTACTTAATGGTTGAAATTTAGGCCGGCGCCGCGACTCACTAGGCTAATCCTCCACCTAGCGGCGCCGGCACGCCGGGTTCTAGTACGGGTCAGGGCGCCGGATTCTGTCCCGGTTGCCCCTCTTCCAGGCCAGCTCTCTGCTGTGGCCAGGGAGTACAGTGGAGGATGGCCCAGGTGCCTGGGCCCTGCACCCTATGGGAGACCAGGAGAAGCACCTGGCTCCTGCCTTTGGATCAGCACAGTGCGCCGGCCACAGCGGGCCAGCTGTGGCGGCCATTGGAGGGTGAACCAACAGCAAAAGGAAGACCTTTCTGTCTCTCTCACTGTCCACTCTGCCTTGAAAAAAAAAAAAAAAAAAAAAAAAAAAAAAAGGTTGAAATTTAGGCAGAAGCACTGGGTCACCCTGTCCCTTTCCTTCAACAAAAGATAATTAATCTAAAGTCAGGGGTGTAATACATGTAAATCAAGCACATCTTTCTGATTGGTTAAAAGCAAGTCTATGTGGTGTTGAAGAATTTTATATTCTGCTGGTCTTGCTGGTTCTTGAAATTGAAAATATCCTCCATGGAAAAGTCAAGGCATGTAGAAATGATGACTGGAGTGTTCAAAGAAGCATGGGGAATAATGCATGCTTTGGTTTTCACTGTTACTTTTTTCTTGAAAGATAATTTCTTAAATTATCTGTTCTTAAATAAAGTATTAGATTGGAAAATAGTTTTTCAGATTATCCAGGTAGCTGTTCTCATCTCAGATGAGGAAATTGAGGCCCAAAGTATGTGGAGTGGCCATGCTTCACCAGATTAAAATAATGGAAAGGGTGAGCCAAGAGAGACCTACATCATTGACTGAGGAAGCACTGTTTTTTCTCTCATCAGAATTCCACAACTCTTTTTTTGTAGTTCTCAGGATTTGAAAAGTTACTTTGTTACTTATTGCAGTGAGTTTTAAAAATTTTTAATCTCACCTTGTAACTGAGTTTTCTGTGAAGAGAAATCTTTTTTTCTGTAGGCTTGAACAATACTGAAAATGTGGAGAGTTTCGCCCTCTGGTGCTCAACTAACTAAAATGCAACCATTTGTCTGGTTCACTTTTTATTACCAAGGGCCTCCTGTTACAGGAAGTGGATATAAAAATGGAGAGGCGATGAGTAGGTGTGACATGGTGTGAGAGACTGCAGAGTGTGAGTCCCCTATGTGCCCTGCTTTATGGGAGGCCTTACCTCACCTGCTGTTCTTTCTGGTTTTCACTGCTACCCTGATGTTCTATGAACAAACTATTTTTGCCCACTTGCTTTTTGTTTTCAATTATTTATAATATTTTATTGCAAACTCGGACAAGCCACACATGCAGAAGCTTCTGATGGTCTTGCTGTTTTTTATTTCATTCCTTTCAAGACTGGGTACGCAAGCTGTTTTTCCTATTGTTTTACCTCAGGTTGCCTCCAGATCCCACTAGGGACCACCTTTCAAAAACCCTCCTCCAACCCCCATTTAGAAAGTTGCTTTTTCTTTCTGCATTTATCCTGTAGAGAACTATTCACTCTTTTTCATGCAAATTTCATGTAATTCAAGGCTGCAGTTGAACGTGTTGTGCTCCTTTATTTTGAGTAAGCTAAGTGGCTTTCTCTGCTCGGCTTTCTTGGGTTTCTTTCTGTACAAAGAAAACTCCATCAGGTTGAAGGTAGCCTTTTAGTCTTGCTTCTGTAATTCCTTCCCTTCTCCCCCACCCCTCCCTCCCTCCCATTCCTTCCTTCTTGGTATTTTTGACATGTAATTGCACATATTTATGGGGGTACAGAGTGATATGCATACAGTGTGTTACAGTTGGATCAGTGTAATTGGCATATCCATCAGCTCATACATTTATCATTATATAAAGGATATTCAAAATCCTTTGTACTAGGCATTTTGAAAAACACAATATATACTTGTTATCAACCATTGTTTCCCTATGTAATTTCTTTTGATAAAGCCCTAAGCTTGAGTCTGGGGGAGAAACACATAAAATGTCAGAAATGAACCATAATTGGCAAATTAGAAATAGAGGCATGACTGCTTATATTCATTCTGTTAACCAGAGAATGTGTGGGATATTTTCTGAGATGAAGTTGAAGTTTTTATTAACTTCTGCATTTGATATTTCTTTACCATCTTCATCTTCTCAATTGAAAGGAAAGAAAAACTGAACAACTTGTTTAAGATACGCTCCCAGAATGTAGAGACTCTTTTCTGTGTCTACAGAGAGGACCTTAGTCATAAATTTTAAATTTTCTTAAGATAGTTATTGGATGTGATACAAATGGAATGGGAGCCAAGAGATAATGCATTGACGTTTGCTTGATTTTAAGTGTTAATTTTTATAAAGAATAAAAAGTGCTAAGTATATACACTAGGCATTCTGTAGCTTATGTCTTTGCAGGCCCAGCCAGAGTGGATATTTTAATGGCATCAGCTGTTTTTGATCTGCTGCTCACTTTCCCTGGTAGTAACCAAAGGGTAATTGTAGCTCCTATACTGGAAATAGCGTTTCATTTAAATCATTCATTTTTAGGAGGGTGATGACATTGAGTGAGAGGTGGTTACTTACAATTTAATGATTTGGGATTGATTTTAATTTATGTTTTGTGCTTTTCACTTGGTATTTGCTTACCAACAACATACCTAGACAAAGGAAGTACACGTTTTTTGGTTTTGATCTAGCATACTACCCTGGTGTAGGCATACAGTAAGCAGAGCCTTTCCAGAGCAGAGGGTTTCTGAAGGGATTATTGGTTTTGAACCCCTTTCTGCTTTAATAACTGCCAACATAACGTGTGATCTGTCTTCCCTTTTAGAGCAAAGCCGGCGAGATGATTTGGAAGCCCTAGGCCATATGTTCATGTATTTCCTTCGAGGCAGCCTGCCCTGGCAAGGACTCAAGGTATCCTTGAAAGTGCTCAGTGGGGGATTTTGTTCAATGTCAGTTGTTAATGAAGGGGCTGCTGGCTTGTCTCTAAGCAGCACAGGAGGGACGATTGGCTACAGAGATGCAAATTGGGGATCAGGTGCATTAGTCTGTGTTGTAAATGCTCACCTGGTCGACGGAAGCTCTGTTCTGTTCACATTCGTCTTCTGAGCTTTCTAATCCTTCTTCTTGTCCTTGGGTTTTCCATCTTTTCCCTTCCTCCCAGTTTTGGCAATGCTGCTTTTCTGTGTGTGTCCATAGTATTCCTCCTCCACTACCATTACAGGGCAGGAGGAGTGTTCTCTGTGTTTTATAGAATTTCTGGAACAAATTGATGACAGTAGCTGTAACACGTTTTACCAGAAAGGCCAGCAGGGATCCTTTGTAGGCTAAGAACTCGCCTGAGCTAAAGTGAAAATCCAGGTTTAACATAGCTGTTCAAGTGCACTGTTGAATCAATGCCTATTCAGACAAAAGCCATTCCTTGCAAAATGTGCAGAGCTTAAATAGCCTTCCTTACATAGACATCAGTACAGTGCCTACATGTCAGAGCTATTAATTAGTATAAGCATTATAATTACTCTGGCTGTTATACATGGTGAGCTTCTGACCCATCTTAAGTCCTGTTGGGTGGTTAAATGTGAGCCATATTTTTTAGTTCTAATTCATTTCAGCATGTAAATGTGGAAAGACGCTTAATCTCTAGCTTGGACTACTTTTATACGCCCCCCTTCCATAAGGGCAGAATGATTTGTTTTGCTATTTCTTAAGACTTTGTTTTTAAAAAGTAAGGCATCTACCCATTCCCTTTGAGAAGATTTTACTTCTTCACCCTTAAATTTCTCTACATTTGTCTGCTCCCTGGTCTTGGTCATGTGCATCTTCTCATTGATACTGACAGCTTTCAAATATGGTTTCAAATCTCGCTTGCTCATCATATAGCCAAACAGCACGTTCATGTTCAGTAGTAACTGCTTGAAATTCTGTCATGATCTGTGAATCACTGTAGTGATTTTGTCAACTTACTTTAGAAGCCTGTTCCTTAAATCTGGGAGTGGCAGGCTGGATAGAGCCTGCTAAGAGTCCTTCAGCCCACTGCTGGGCCGAGGTCCCCGGAGCTGTCTGTCTGCAGACCTGATACCCCAGACTTGCTTGTTTGCCGTGCCCTAACTATAAGGAACTTTTTTTCCACCTGGAAGCACTTTGGAAAAAGCCAGTTTTAAAGATGTCTTCTTTTTTTCTCCTCAATTTTTCAATATATGTGTATTGGAACTATGCATCTACTTCCCTCACGTGGATTAGCAGTACTTAAAATCTCAATTTGGAGCTAATCTAAGAGGAAGAAGGCTGAATCGCTGTTGAACTCTAGTGGTCTTGAAAGATTACTAAGTTTCTGCAGTTTTGAATATTGATACAAAATGCTTTTATTTTCTTACCCTAAAACCACTTATCTCATCATATCTGATGATGTTTCTCTGAGACTACTAAATATATTTGAAAGTAAATCTGCCAGGACACAAGCAGATGCTTGTACATATCTAAGTGCATCTTTTCTGCTACACCTCTTATTTGTTAGTGTTGGAGAGAAACAAAAGCAACAAATCCTGCCAAGTTGAGGAAAACAGTCATTGTGTCTGAAACAGATTAAACCTCCATACACTGCATCTCTTTCCAAATAACTTTCTTTACTCTGCAGGCGGATACGTTAAAAGAGAGGTATCAAAAAATCGGTGACACAAAAAGGAACACTCCCATTGAAGCTCTGTGTGAGAACTTTCCAGGTAGGATGCTAACAGGACACTCCAGCCCACGACTGAAGTTCTGAAGTAGGTGGAGTTCATGACTTGGCCTGTCTTGAAAAGGGTGCTGTCCAACTAATTTACATTTCCTCTTATTGTTCACACCAAGGTAGGGTTTTTTTTTTTCTCCCCACTTTTATTAGGTCCCTAAAGAAAACTCCAGTATTAGATGTTCTGTACGGATAGCCCCAGAGTGGCCCGGAGCTGCCTGCCATGGGAAGCCTTCAGTTACTGAACGTGGCCTTTCACCTCTTTCCCAACAGAAGAGATGGCAACCTACCTGCGATACGTCAGGCGCTTAGACTTCTTTGAAAAACCTGACTATGAGTATTTACGGACGCTCTTCACAGACCTCTTTGAAAGGAAAGGCTACACCTTTGACTATGCCTATGACTGGGTCGGGAGGCCTATCGTAAGTATCCTCTTTTTACCTCACCACCTCCTTTGTGGGCCAGTAGGAAACTATCAGCTTAACCTTCCCTGGTGGCTTACTGGTTACAATTTGGCACTCTCTTGCTCTCAAAACTATCAGCTTAAAAGCCAGCCTGCTGTAGTTTTACTGAATTTTGAGTCCTGCCTGCGGTTGCCGTTGCATGGCCAGACCAAATGATCCTGCAGGTCATCTGTGGCCCACAAGCCGGACGTTCCCCACTCCTGCTTTACAGGGTTGTTCCCTAAGTTACCCTAGGTAGAGTTAGAAAGTAGAGATTATACATTTCAAATTCTAACTTGTATATCCTAAGATACCAGGATTTAAGCCACTTTTTTAGGAGCTTTCCTTTAAATGATTCAGAAGTTGTTGCTGCATCACTGATAAGATACCTGGCTTCTGTGGAAGTGGAAGCCAACACCATAGGAAACTTTTGAATTTGCTATTCGGCCAGAGGTCCACAGGGCAGGAGTGCAGGCTGACAGATACTGCTGTAAGATGATCTTTTATTTTCAGACATCACCTATTCTCCAAGACTGTTGAGGACCAGGCCGCCTCCCTTTTGCAGATGAGCAAACTGAAAAGCAGGACAACTTGAAACTACTCTTGGTAGCTGAAATTCTACTCTGTTAGAATTGCAGAGGCATCAGGTTGGACCTGTTTTATCCATTTGACTTTTTGTTTCATTTTTCCAGCCGACTCCAGTAGGGTCAGTTCATGTAGATTCTGGTGCATCTGCAGTAACTCGAGAAAGCCACACACACAGAGATCGGCCATCACAACAGCAGCCTCTTCGAAATCAGGTATGTGCTGGTCCTTCCTTATTTTGGACGTTCTGCTTCTTGGCTAATACTAAAACCCAAATTCTCCAGTTTCTCTGCATTAGTGTCTATGTTGGAGTTAAAGACAAGGCCTGCCTTTCTCAGTGATATGTTATGATGTTGTGCGGTTTGATGGCGTAGCTCTGAGGGCATATGCTGAGATTTGGCCAGGTGGCTTCTCTGAAGTGTTCACTGTGGAGAATCTGGACCTGCCAGTGTCCATTGGCTGATGAGGGGGATCTAGCTGTGAGTTAGGGTCTGAGGTACTCTGCCGCACGACCTACTTACTAGACATACAAGATGTACCATTATCCCACTTTGGGACTTACTGCAGTCCAGTCCTGGTATTCTTTTTTTTTTTTTTTTTTTTTGTATTTTTGACAGGCAGAGTGGACAGTGAGAGAGAGAGACAGAGAGAGAAAGGTCTTCCTTTGCTGTTGGTTCACCCTCCAATGGCCGCCGCTGCAGCCGGCGCACCGCGCTGATCTGATGGCAGGAGCCAGGATCCAGGTGCTTTTTCCTGGTCTCCCATGGGGTGCAGAGCCCAAGCACCTGGGCCATCCTCCACTGCACTCCCTGGCCATAGCAGAGAGCTGGCCTGGAAGAGGGGCAACAGGGACAGAATCCGGCGCCCCGACCGGGACTAGAACCCGGTGTGCCGGCGCCGCAAGGTGGAGGATTAGCCTATTGAGCCACGGCGCCGGCTCCAGTCCTGGTATTCTTGCCAATTCTTGGTTCTTTCTTGCCAGTTAAGAAGAACATTCAGCTAAAACTGAACATGAACTGCCACCTTCACACCACCCCTTGTTTCTGTACCCACCTTAATTCCACAGCTGTCCCTGATCTGAGAAGGCCCTGCAGTAAGGGCTCAGCTTTGTTTTTTTGTTTTTTGGTTTTTTTTTTTGTTTTGTTTTTTTGACAGGCAGAGTAGACAGTTAGAGAGAAAGAGAGACAGAGAGAAAGGTCTTCCTTTACCGTTGGTTCACCCCCCAATGGCCGCTGTGGCCGGCGCACTGTGCTGATCCAAAGCCAGGAGCCAGGTGCTTCTCCTGGTCTCCCATGGGGTGCAGGGCCCAAGCACTTGGGCCATCCCCCACTGCACTCCCTGGCCACAGCAGAGAGCTGGCCTGGAAGAGGGGCAACCGGGACAGAATCCGGCGCCCCGACCCGGACTAGAACCTGGGGTGCAGGTGCCACAGGCAGAGGATTAGCCTGTTGAGCCGTGGCACCAGCCCTTTGTTTGTTTTAGGCCATTCCAGAGAAGGCTGTGTCACCTGTCCTTCAGTGTTCACTGATTGGGAGATTAGTAGTCTAGGGGAGGGACAAAGGAGGCAAACATGGGGGAAAAATTTAATAAATTTGATACCACCTTTAAAAAAGACTAACTGGGAAGAAAACAAGACAAAGGTTTTTATCTTTATATTTTATAAAAGTATTGCTAAGAGAAAAAGAGACTCTGTAGATAAATAAGAAAAGCATAATAAACAGATTGTGTATGTGTGTGTCTGCATGTGTTTTTGTTTTTATCATTATCAGATATCAAATTAGCTTGTTCTCCCTCCTCCTGATCCCTCTTTTTATTAACAGAAATTTTTACAAGGAAAAAAAATGTCACCCGACAGCACAGGTGCATGCACATAAGTTAAAATCAGTATATAGTTGTACAGACACATGTGTAAAATGAAGTCCATCCACCTACATAGATTACTTACCAGTAACTGTGTACTCTTCGCAAAATATCTGGTTTGGTAGGTAAGAAAAAAATCTGTAAAGAAAGGAAAGCTATGGATTAGAGAAAAGAAAATGAGTTAAAAAAATAAGTAAAAAGTTGGAATTTTTCTTTTTTATTTTTTTTTAAAGGATTTATTTATTTTGAAAGTCAGAGCTACACAGAGAGAGAAGGAGAGGCAGAGAGAGGGTAGGGTAGGTCTTCCATCCGCTGGTTCATTCTCCAGATGACCACAATGGCCAGAGCTGCGCCAATCCAAAGCCAGGAGCCAGGAGCCAGGAGCTTCTTCTGGGTCTCCCACAGCATGCAGGGGCCCAACCACGTGGGCCATCTTCTACTACTTTCCCAGGCTATAGCAGAGAGCTGGATCAGAAGTGGAGCAGCTGGGACTCAAACCGACGCCCATATGGGATGCCAGCACTGCAGGCGGCAGCTTTATCCGCTGTACCACAGCGCCGGCCCCAAAAGTTGGAATTTTTCAAATTCAAACATTAATCAGGTTCTCAGTTATATGCTGTAATCAAATTAGTTATCTAAGACTTATAAGATCACTAACTTTTTATGTATTTATTTGTTTTGAAAATCATAGTTACAAAGGGAGAAATAGATCTTCCATCCATTGGTTCACTTTCCAGATGGCTGCAACAGCCAGTGCTGGACCAAGCCAAAGTCAGGAGCCTGGAGCTTCCTCTGGGTCTGCCTTGTAGGTGGCAGTGGCCCAAACACTTGGGGCATCTTCTGCTGCTTTTCCCAAGCCATTAGCAGGGAATTGGATCAGAAGTCGAGCAGCCAGGACTTGAACTGGCACCCATATGGCAGCAGCTTTACACCATAATATCAGCCCCTATAACTATCTTCTAATTTGGCAACAAAGGTGTTTTCTCTTTTTTTGAAGATTTTATTTAGTTGAAAGACAAATTTACAGAGAGAATGGGAGAGAGAGAGAGAGAGAGAGAGAGAGAGAGGTGTTCCATGTGCTGGTTCAATCCCCAAATGGCTGCAACTGCCAGAGCCAGGAGCCAGGAACTCTGGGTCTCCCACGTGGATGCAGGGACCCAAGCAGTTGGGCCATCTTCCACTGCTTTCCCAGGCACATCAATAGTGAGCTGGATCAAAAGTGGAACAGCCAGGACTCAAACTGGTACACATGTGAGATGCCAGCACCACAGGCCAGGGCTTTAATCTGCTGAAGGCCCCCCAAAATTCTTGACTTCTACAATTGTTCTCTTCCATCCACCTGTTCTTAAAAGCTAATATACAGTGTAGGTGAGGGCACTATTAACTTTGCAAATTGTTACAATAGAAAATAATTTGAAAAACTTACTATATTTTCTGGTAAAATACCTTATTAGAATCAATTATAATGAAACAACCCAGAATATAGGTTAATTTATGAGCATAAAATTGTCACAACGGGGCTGGCCGCTGTGGCGCAGTGGGTTAACTCCCTAGCCTGAAGCTCCGGCATCCCATATGGGTGCCGGTTCAAGTCTGGGCTTCTTCCAGGCCAGCTCTCTGCTGTGGCCAGGGAGTGCAGTGGAGGATGGCCCAAGTCCTTGGGCCCTGCACCCCATGGGAGACCAGGATGGCTCCTGCCATCGGATCAGCGCGGTGCACCGGCCGCTGTGCGCCGGCCGCGGCAGCCATTGGAGGGTGAACCAACGGTAAAGGAAGACCTTTCTCTCTGTCTCTCCTGTCTCTCTCTCTCTCTCATTGTCCACTCTGCCTGTCAAAAAAAAAAAAAAGACTGGGCTGCTCCTCTTCCCTATCTAGCTCTCTCCTATGGCCTGAGAAAACAGTAGAAGAAGGCCCAAGTCCTTGGGTCCCTGCACCTGCGTGGGAGACCCAGAAGAAGCTCCCGGCTCCTGGCTTTGGATCGGTGCAGCTCTGGCCATTGTGGCTATCTGGAGAGTGAACCAGCTGATGGAAGACCTTTCTTCCAGTCTCTGCCTCTCTCTATAACTCTGTCTTTCAAATAAATAAAATAAATCTTTTTTTTTTAAAGAGATAATTCCCCATTAAAAAAAATTGTCACAGTGTCGGAACCCACATTTAGAAAGGATCCACCCTTCCAGCTGCAGAGGACTGACCACAGATTCACCTCACAGCCTTTACTGAATACACTGAGTTAGAGTGTACTGCATACATTTATTTATTCAGCAGAGTATTATGTAGGTCCGTAAAATAAAAGTAAGAAAAACTTCTAGCAACCTGAAATTATTTATGGTTTACATAGTAAAGAAATGAGAATACAAAATTATAAATGTTTCATGATTGCTGAGAGAGGAGGGGGGAAATGAACAAAACTAAGTGGAGCAATAATTCCAAAATATTAGCAGAAGTGGTATTAGAAGTGGTAGTATTCTGTCATATTTTTCCAATATCTCTTTTTTTTTTTTTAAAGATTTATTTATTTATTTGAAAGTCGGAAGTACAGAGAGGCAGAGAAAGAGAGAGAGAGGGAGAGAGGTCTTCCATTTGCTGGTTCACTGCCCAACAGGCCACAATGGCTGGAGCTGCCCCGATCCAAAGCCAGGAGCCAGGAGCTTCTTCCAGGTCTCTCATGTGGATGCAGGGGCCCAAGGACTTGGGCCATTCTCCACTGCCTTCCTAGGCTATAGCAGAGAGCTGGATTGGAAGTAGAGCAGCTGGGACTCAAATCGGCCTCACCTGCCACGCCACAGCGCCAGCCCCTCAAAATGTCTTATAATTAAGTTTTATTTATATAATAAAAATGCATTTCAATAGAAAATGTATGGAAAAAAGTAGCAAGTGAATTCAGAATCCTCATTCATGTTTTTAGACTAGCTTAAAATTTAAAACACGCTTCCTTTCATTTCCCTTACCTTTTTTGCTCAGTGAATTCATAATCAATGCTGTTGTTTCTAATGGATTTTAAAAGCGTAGGGGAGGGGCCGGCGCTGTGGTGTAGGGGGTAAAGCCGCTGCCTACATTGCCAGCATTCCATATTAGCACTAGCTTTGAGTCCTGGCTGCTCCTCTTCCAATCCAGCTCACTGCTATGACTGGGGAAAGCAGTAGAGGATGACCCAAGTCCTTGGGCCCCTACACCCCCCCAGGAGACCTGGAAGAAGCTACAGGCTCCTGGCTTCAGATTGACCCAGCTCCAGCAGTTGTGCTATTTGGGGAATGAACCAGCGAATGGAAGATCTGTCTGCCTCTGCCTCTCTGTAACTCTGCCTTTCAAATAAATAACTAAACTTAAAAAAAAAAAAAAAAAAAGTGTAAGAAAA